GAAGGAAGTACGAGGGGAGTATGAAGGGAGTACCAGGGGAGTACGAAGGGAGTATGAAGGGAGTACGAGGGGAGTACGAAGGGAGTACAAGGGAGTACGAGGAAGTATGGGAAGTACGGGAGTCTCACTTTTTCCCCCTTGGTAAATACACAGCTACTTCCTCTTCAATGATGAGAAAACTCTGCCTAACCTTCAATTGTTTTTAAAGAGACACCCTAAGGAGCGACTTGTACGAAGACGCTGCCAGTATAAACACTTACAACTTGAAGACGTTTCAAAGTTAATGCTATCATTTTCTCGCATGATTTTGTTTACTTGAAGATAAAAAAATAATTATGACCTTGATTGCAACCATTAATTTCTTCTTTATTTCATATTCCTAACGCTTAGACGGATGGACAACTACTCTGTATTATCAAAGATTCTTTCTGAACTGAAAAGCATCTCTATAATGCTCTATGGAGAGGAATTCAAGATATCAACTGACCTCTTCGGAACATCCAAGAGAAGCTAGTTCACAAGGAACAACACGATAAACGCATCTCTCCCGTTGATGAGTTTCTAGTTGAATTGCTAATCTGAACTCTTCATTACATTTGTTGCACTGTAGTGCACAGTGCGTCTTAAGATGTTCCTAGCAGAGAAAAATTAGTACAAGGAAAAAACGTCAACAAAACAAGGTTACCCTTAGACTGGTGAACAAACCGATCCATGAATTGCCACATTCGAGACAGTTTACTTTTACATCTTTATTTTCGCGTATGAACCCTTTGTCGGGATTGCCCTAAACATAGAGTCTAGTCTTAAATTAAAATGAAATAAAAATATTTATTTCGTCCTACGTGAACTGGGAAAGCAGAACAAAAACGACATTTAAGATCAGCATTTCTAGAAGAATAAATTTGTAGAAAATTTAGTCAAATACAAGGTTTAAACGGTAGCACTTCATGATATGGGTGCAAGGTTCACAGACCCTTAGCCCGCAACAACGCAGCTGCATGCATGAGTCAAGTGGCCAATGGCAAAGAGGGCACATTAGATACTGATATTGTTCTTGGGTCCATCTTTCTTGTTGGTTTCTTGTCAAATCATCTGACATTCCTTAGCCTGAAACATGACACGAAAACATACGTTTTACATGAAATATTTCTCTACGAGAATATTTCTACAAACAAATCACTTGAAAACAATTTTCAAATCAGAATGCAGCCGTTAACGCTAGCACAAGTGAAAGACTCTTGAGGCTTTCTCACGAAATATTTTCTTCAAAGAAAAGTAAAATTGTTTTTACGTGACAATATTGCACAACAATGACCTACTTCTGAGATTTCAAATTTCTGGCCTCTAATGCCAAGCATTAGTCAATTTTCCGCGAATAATGCGTTCGTCTGTCTCCTTTGATGGTAGCCGCAGCTGAGCCTTTAAAGAACCTGCTAAGCCTGCGTGATAAGAACAGGCGAGAATGGTTGTAAATGCAATAGTGATTGTGAGACATGAATGAGTGGCTGTCGGTGCTGATATATGGCGGAATCAGGCCCGAAACTTCATTCACACCCATGAAAGCACAGACAAAAAATGAAACTTAAGTCTGGTTGACTCTCGAAAACTTCTTGGATACGCTAGCAAATCAAAAGAAGTTTGAGTGAATCATTTTATGGTTATTTTTCACTTAATATTGTTTTTGTTGGAAACTTTCAATCCCTGTTTATTATGAGTCAGACTCTCATAATGCATTGAAAGGTGTTTTGTAAGTTGCAACTGCATTTTTATTCTTTTTGGGTGTGCGTGCGAGTGTAGTTGGGTGTGAGTGTGAGCGATGTGGGTGTAGGAGAATGTGGGTGTGGTGCGTGAGAGTGTGGGAGTGTGGGTGGATCTGTGCCTGTGGCTTTGAGTGGGTATGACAAGAAAGAGGGCACCCAAACCCATACCCTAGTAAAAAAAGGTTGGAAATGTTTTAGAAAACGGCGCAAAAAACGGAAAATGGAACTGCCTAACTATGATCCCAATCGATTGTCACCAAACATATTCTTTGTCACTTTTCGATTTCATTTTCGATTATTTATTCCTACATAGAAAATAAGCCATAACAAACGATCTAGCTGTCACAGGTAGCTTGAGCGCACTCATATATGGAAATTCACGCAGTTCTGATTGACCTCACAGTTGGTACTATAATAAGGGTGTGGGTATCGACTCAAGACATCTACTTCTACATCCACAATTTCCCCACGCACCCACACTTCACCCATGCATCCACACCCCCCCCCCCCCCCCCCCCCCCCCCCCCCCCCCCCCCCCCC